ACCTCTTTTTTACTTGTAAGCATGTCAGGGATTTCCTCAATGGCTTTAATCTGTGCGGGATTTACTTCAATACCACGGTTAGAAACAAGAAAGCCTAAAAACTTACCTGATGCAACACCGAATGCACATTTCTCAGGATTTAGCTTCATATTAAATTTCTGCAAGCTCTGAAATGTTTCTGACAAATGTGATATATGATCCCCTAAATGTTGACTTTTGACGAGCATATCGTCTATATAGACCTCCATAGTTTTTCCCAGATGATCTTGAAACATTTTGGTCACCAATCTTTGATATTTTGCACCAGCATTTTTGAGACCAAAAGACATTACTTTATAGCAGTAAGTCCCCCTGTCAGTTATAAATGAAGTTTTTTCTTCATCTATGGGATCCATTTTGATTTGGTTGTATCCTGAGTATGCATCTAAAAAACTTAACAACTCATGTCCTGCAGTAGCATCAATTAGTTGATCTATATGTGGTAATGGAAAAGAATCTTTAGGATAAGCTTTGTTAAAATCTGTGTAATCTACACAAACTCGCCATTTACTGTTCTTTTTAGGTACCACAACAGTGTTGGCTAACCAATTAGGATACTTTACCTCACGGATAGATCCATTGTTTAATAATTTTTGGACCTCATCTTGAATCACCTGATTTTTGAAAGTTCCTTGCTTTCTCTTCTTTTGTTTGATAGGTCGATAAGACGGGTCTTTGTTTAATTTGAGAGTCATTACCTCCGGTGGTATACCTGTCATATCAGAATGGGACCAAGCAAAACAATCTGCGCTGGCTTTTAAAAATTCAATCAACTTACGTTTCATGTCTTGGCTAAGATTGGCCCCGATGTAGATTTTCCTTTCAGGCCAATATACAAATAATACTACAGCCTCTGGTTCTTCGATCTTTGTTTTGATATTTTTGTTTTCTTCTGGTTCTTCAATGGAATCGGGCCTTGAATATACATCTGTTCGCCCTTGTTCAGTTGAGGTTTGCGTTTTGGTATCCTCAACTGAATTCTGTAATTGCTATTTTTCTTCATTTCTCGTACTTGAATCTGCTACGGAGTTAATGCTCCTAGATGTCTGTTGATCTCCACGGATTTGACATATTCCCCACGGTGATGGAAATTTAATGACTTGATGTAAGGTCGACGGAACAACATCCATCTCGTAATCCATGGCCTACCTAGAATTAGGTTGTAAGCCATTTCCAGCTCCACTACCTGAAACTTCGTATCTTTCACAACTCCTTCTGCGAATGTGGTAAGTATTACTTCCCCTTCCGTCACAACGCTGGTATTATCGAATCCAGACAAAGTATGCGCTTTTGGTACTATTTTATCCTCAGCTTGCATCTCATGTAGTACTCTTAGTAGGATAATGTTCATGGAGCTTCCTGGATCAATCAAAACTCGTTTCACATTAGTATCATGTATAAGTAAAGATATTACCAGTGCATCGTTATGTGGAGTTAATACGCCATCCGCATCTGCATCATCAAACGTAATGCTTTCTTCCTCCAACACCTGTCGCACCCGCTTCCCGTGGGTAATCGTGACTTTGGAAACTTTATTGACTGTTGTGTACGTCACACCATTGATTTCTTCCCCTCCGCGTATAACATTGACGGTTCTTTTGGGAGAAGGCGGTTTTGGAGGCTCCTGTCTATTCTTCATGTATGCTTGCTTACCTTTCTCACTGAATAATTCGGTGAGATACCCTTGCTTCAATAGATGATCAACCTCTCCTTGTAGCAACCTACAATCTGCTGTTTTATGACCATGATCATTGTGAAACTCGCACCAATGATCGGGATTCCGCCTGTTTGGATTTGATCTCATTTCTTTTGGCCACCGCACCTTGTCACCCATGCTTCTTGAAACAGCCACGAGCTCAGAAGTGCTTACATTAAAATTATGACCGCCAAATCGTGCCTTCAGATTTCTATCATCATCTCGTGACTCTCGTGTGTTACGATCGTTTCCATACCTCGATGATGAGCCCAATTCTCTATTTCTGGATCTATGATCGTACCTTGACTGATCATGTTTTGACCGTGAATCTTTTCCAGCTGGGCCCATATATGGTTCGTACCTGCTTTTACCGGACCTTTTTTCTATTTCCGCCCGTCTTGAACTCACCTTTTCTTCTTTTTGGACCGCGAGATAATATCTTCTTCGATCCTTAACTTTGTGCTATACCTGTTGTAAACATCATTCCATGTCGTTGCTGGGAATTCACGAAGACTTTCCTTGAGTCGCCTCGTAGCTTCTGAGCTTTTTTCATTCAAATTACTAGTGAAAGCTATAGCTGCCCAATTATCTGGTACACGTGGTAACGTCATTCTTTCACGCTGGAATCTATCCACGAACTCTCTAAGCAACTGGGAGTCCCCTTGTTTGATTTTGAAAATATCCTCCATTCTCTTTTCGACTTTTTGAGCCCCCGAATGTGCTTTGATAAACAAATCTGCAAGCTCATCAAAAGAATTTATGGAATTCTCAAGTAAAAGAGAATACCATGTTAAAGCTCCCTTAGTGAGTGTTTCGCCGAATTTTTTGACCAATACTTATTCAATTTCTTGTTTAGTCAAATCATTGCCTTTTACGCCAGTTGTGAATGCAGTCACGTGGTCTCGTGGATCAGTTGTTCCATCATATTTTGGAATATCAGGCATTTTGAACTTCTTTGGAATTGGTAGTGGAGCAGCACTTGGCTTCCAAGGTTGCTGTAAATATTTGTCTATATCGATTCCTCTGATTACAGGCGGGACTCCAGGTATTTGCTCTATGCGGTCACTTTGTTCCTTGAGCTGAAACTGCAATGTTAGAACTAAATTTTGTAAATCGGAATTGACTAAGTTACCTGGTTCTCCCTCTCGTGATTCACTGGGGATTCCACCACTGCCTGAATTAACAAGCCCAGAACGAGGGTTTTCCAAAGTATTGGTATTTGGAATTGGTGTTGATGGTGCAACAGGTAACTGGATGGCAAAGGCCTCAAGAGCTTTATCGACCTGTTGAGCGATCAATTTCTGCAAAGCTTCATTGATAGCTTCATCATTGTCAAATTGAGCATTTGCATTTGAGTGAGATCCATCAGGAGTTCCTTCTCGAGATCGCCGAGGCGAACTTTGTGGAGAAGGGATCGGAGTGTGAACATCTTGTGGGTCCCCTTGGAGTTGATGGTTTCCTTGGTTTCCTTGGGTGTTATCGTTAACATTTGACATGATTGTTGATGTAAAGAAACAGATAGGTTAAGAAAGAATAGATTATCAGATTCCCGATAACAAAACCAATTTGTTTAACCAAAAAATAGAATTTCAGTCAAAGCTCTATTTTTAGAAGAACCCGGGTTACTGATAATCGAAAACGAATAAAACAAATGGATTTTGACAACCAATAGATAACAGGAAACAAAATAAATCCGTATATTCAGATGATTTTCGTGTGTCTACAAATGATCAGTCTTCTCCCTTTTATAGCTATTTCTAAGTTATACGTTTTGCCTTTGTCATAATAAGGTCATTATGGCCGATTAAAGGCATTAAATGCTACGTTACATAATCATTATAATTTAATACAAATTCTCTAACGCTTTCAGTATTTAATGTTTATTAAATACTGTATCTGGACTCTTCTGCACTGTCAGGTTCATTCTTCTCAGCTTTTATACTTGAATAGGTACGAGCGTCGAGTCTTTTTGAATATCGTCCCGTGCCTCTTCTTGCGTTTTCACTCGTATCTGTTGCAACTCGTGCCTCTTTGCTTATTATCATTCTTTTGACCAGCCCCCGTGTCATGACACGTCATCTTTCAATTACTTTAATATGTAAATCTAATTTTTTTCCAATACAGATAGTCCCCCAACTTGCCATTTATTCATCAATTAAATATTTGGGAAGTGGATTTTATAAAAGCGGGAATACTTGCCGCCATTAATGCTATAATTGTCACGACCCAATTTCCAAACCCGGTCGTGATGGCGCCTCTCGTGAAGACAAGGCCAGCCAACAGAACACCAACAACTCCTTAATAATTACTTAGCATGAATAAGTCTAAACCATTAATAAAAATTCCCGTAAGTGCGGAAGAAAAGTGATAAAAATAGGGAATCATCCCAACACAGCCCGACCGGGGTGTCACAAGTCACGAGCATCTAGAAGGATTTTTAATACAACTACAAGGCCTGTAATACATGGATTAAAATTTAGAATAAAAAAGAAGAATTCGGTGCCGCGAACGCTGGCGGTCACCTTGCTCAGCTACGATAGCAAAATCCTCAACCAGCTCAAACCCGCTACCGGGTAAACAAATACCTGCATCTGCACGCGAGGTGCAGGGAGTAAAGTGAGTACTCCAACTCAGTGAGTAATAAAAGTAAATAATAACTGAGCAGCAAGAAATCACGTAAAGCAATCCATCATGCTATATAGGACAGTGTAACCCTTTGAGAAAAATAGTGAAAATGTGAAATCTTTAGAAATATCTGGGCTCAGTTTTAAAACCTCTTTTAAAAATGTCTTTTTCCAACAGTCAAGCAAATGAATGCGAAGCAAGTAGTGCAAGCCAGCACAAAAGTCAGCCCCTCGGGCACAACACTCCGTCAACAAATAGCACCAGGATATCAGGCAATTAGCGCAGGAAGTAGCATGGAAGCCAATGAAATGAGAGTGTTGAAATGTCATGACGAATAAGACAAATAGGAACAAATGCATGAGTGAAATGCAATGCATATGATGGTACACTCCGGTACCCACTGCGGCGTGCAGCCCGAGCCATCCATATATTTAACGTNCAACTACCTTCCTTTCGAGTCAAGAAGAGAAAGCCTGGTGTGCTCATTTTCGAGCCACCTTGAAGTTACCAACTTTATTGTTCAGTTTTTTTTTTGCGGTCTTGTGGAACATGAACATTGTTCATCGTTTACTAGCATGATTTCTCCAGGTCATATTTATAATGAAGGTCTAACCCCCCTTTTCAAACCCACCCCGTAACCCCCCCCCCCCAAAAAAGGGGACCAAAAGACAAAAAAAGAAGAGTAAAGTTCAAAGCTTTATAGGGGGTCTTTAGAGTTGCTTGTTAGGTCCTTATCTATGCATGAAATTTGTATTGATAGTATACATATTTTTTTATATAAGTTTCTTTTTTAGCTCCTCTTGTTGCTTCCTTTGAAGGTTCTTGCTTTTAGTTTTTTTGGGGGTTGTTTTAATCTGCACACTGTCCAAAGACTGCTAGTTTCTTGATTTTAGTTTAAAAATCAAGTCCTTCTTTTTTCTTTTTCAAGAAAAGGGGTTATCTTTTTATGTGATTCTTGATTTTTAGATCTTTTGGGTGTTTGAAGTTTTGGAGGCATATTTTGGTTTTAAATTCTTCTACTTTTATTAGGAAGTTAAAGGAAGAAGCGTTGCTTATGAGGGTTCAAGTGTTTGCTAGGATCAAATATTCATATTGTAACATGAGAAGATAGTATTGACTTTTTGAGTGATGGGGGCAGAGTTGTTATTTGCAAGTAATTTGTAGGATCAAAGGGTTGAGTTGAGGATGAGGCATTCAGGGATAATCTGATTGAGAATTTTGCAACCATGAGTTGCAGTGAGAAGAGTAGAGAAAGAGAAGAGGAAGAAACTCCTGTTGGTAGTGTACAGAAATACGTTGAAGGCGTATCACGAAATGGATCATCAGTAGTACCCTCAAATCAATTATCTATTGATGAGAGAGTGTTGGTGGATCCAAAACAACTCTTTATTGGAACCAAAATTGGTGAGGGGGCTCATGGAAAAGTTTATGAAGGAAGGTATGTAACGCCTTTCGCGCAATATTACCCATAATTTTTTTTAATGTAGTGCTGATCATCATTGTTGTTCTGCCAGTTACTTGAAAATTGTGATGCTGTAACTTGTGGATTTTATTTTAGGTGATTGGCCAGTGTTACTGTTCCATTGGTTTACTAGTTAGGTAAATGCTATCTTAGTCAGAAAATATAACATGAGAGTTTGCTTGCCATTTGAAATTGATATATTCGTTGAGTCTTATATAGTAACTGAGAGTAACTATTTTCTTCTTGTGTTTTTTCTAGTTTGGCTATTTTCATTTTTTGTCTTGAGAGGCAGTCAAACGCAACAATTTCTGTCATTTAAACAATAGGAAGATCGAAAATATTTGTGCTTTTTGCTATATTTTGGATTATCTGCTGTCTGGCTTTATTGTACATTTTTCATTTATCGGAAAAAATGCTTCATGTCTCTCCAGGTATGGTGATCAAATTGTTGCGATAAAAGTTCTAAATGGCGGTAAAACCTCGGAAGAAAGAGCTTCACTTGGAAGCCGTTTTGTTCGGGAAGTTGTTATGATGTCAAGAGTAAAACATGAGAATCTTGTAAAAGTAAGTACCCCGTATCATTTTTCTTTCTCTTCCGACTTCATTAGACTCTGAAATAATACTATTCTGATTATCTTTTCAAAGTGCTGCTTTTAACTTCCCTTGAGCAGCTTTCTTTTGTTAAGTTTAGCAAGCCCTATGGTGTTAGCTAGTAAATTCTGATTTCTTTGCAGTTTATTGGAGCTTGCAAGGATCCTTTGATGGTTATAGTGACAGAGCTGCTTCCTGGAATGTCCCTTCGGAAGTACTTAGTCAGCATTCGTCCAGAAGTGCTTGATCTTCATGTCGCCTTAAGTTATGCGCTTGACATTGCTCGGGCCATGGAATGTTTACATGCCAATGGCATTATACATAGAGATCTAAAACCTGGTACCACTTGGCTAGCCGAGCTGTACAAGACTTTTTTCTTTTTTCTTTTTGTTATTGTAGTTATCCATTGAAATGTTAAACAGGCCAAATATTATGGTTTTGGACTATATTATTTTATCCATCAATATTTTACTGCTGGATAGTTCTTTTTCTGGGTTATCTTATCATTTTATGTTGGCTCTTCTATGGTCAGTAATCTAAGTACCATTGAAGGAAGAAGTTATTAGTGCAGACATTGTGGTATATATTTCACTTCATTGCTTGCCATCTCAATTCTTTCTTCTTTTTATAAAAAGAATCTCAATATCTAGGGAAGCCAAAAGTGGATAGAACACTCATTCTTAGTTGATGTATGGGTCAGTTTATGCTCCTAACTTGGAGTTTTATTCTTAAGTTGGCATCAGTCTCTTATTACCATTCCTATTTCATGTTTTAGTGTGGTTTTTTTTTTCTTTTTTTTTTTGATCGTTTCCTGTCTAAGAAAGTGCACATCTGGAAATGTCATTTATGCAGACAATTTGTTGCTCACGGCCAATCAGAAGTCTGTGAAGCTTGCAGATTTTGGGCTAGCTAGGGAAGAGACCCTCACTGAGATGATGACGGCAGAAACTGGGACATACCGGTGGATGGCACCTGAGGTTTGTATCTAATTTAGCCACTTGTTATTCAAGCACCATATTTTAACGAGTGAACCGTGTAATTTCCTCCACTAGACATGTCAATAAACATCACTTCAAACGTAGCCGGTTATTATTATTTTGTACCTATTTATGTATCAATAGCTTTCTGTATGGAGGATTAAATTATTGGTAATATCAACTTACATGGTGGAATAGAATGGTTAGGGACAGTAACTATGATTCCACTAATGAAATGTGAGCAGATTCACACTTTTGCATTTTCTCATCTCATAGATTAGTAAAGACTGGTAATTATGATGACGAGTAGGATTATGTACCTGCTGGCTACCTCGTAGGAATATATGCTCAAGTAGTGACCCATCAGAATTATTTGCAGGATAGAGATGAAAAGTGTCAAAGAGTGAATAGATGATGTTGACAACCAAAGTGACATCTATTATGTAAAAGGAGTTTCCTTAACTTATATTTCAAAGGAAATCTATGTCCCATGGCTTTGGTCTAGTGGTAAGAACTAAGAACACAGTGGGGGATGTGTGGATTAGGCGCATGTCACAGTTCTAGACTTTGTGACATACAAAAGCATGATATTTAAGTGGGAAAGGGTTTGGGGGGGGGGGGGGGAGCCCATTATCCGCCAAGTCTCAAACTGTGCACCATTATCCCTCGGGAATCTTCAGGTTATCCCCCCAAAAAAATTAAAAGGAAAATCTTCAGGTGTAATTTCTAATTTCTCTTCTGTTCTTCTGAATTACAATATTATGATCTTGATTTGAAGCAAGCCTTGAACTATTTCCATTTTTAACTTTCAAAGGGATAAACAGAGTACTTTGGTTTGATGATATTCAGATCCAATTTATTATCTTTAAGGCTGTTCTATGTTGCTGTCATCGTTTTTCCAGTCGCCTTTATAAACTACTATCCTTCATGTTTAATTTGGTAGTTTGGTGACTCAAAAGTCTAATTATTTTGTGATACTCCTATTGGAATTCCGCAATGAACTCCTGTTAGTCTACTATATATTTTATGATATAAAGGTGTGCACTAATGCCTTGATGATCAAAGTTCAAATCTTTTGTCGTTTCTCTCTTATATTTTTTCTTTTGAATATATTCTTACTTGGGTCACTTTCAATACCTTTTATATGGTTTATCTTGAATTTTCAAGTTTCTCAATTATCTCAATTATTTTTTTTTGGCAGTTGTACAGCACCGTCACATTGCGTCAGGGGGAGAAGAAGCATTACAATAACAAGGTTGATGTTTATAGTTTTGGTATTGTCTTGTGGGAATTACTGACGAACCGCATGCCATTTGAAGGAATGTCGAATTTGCAAGCTGCTTATGCTGCTGCTTTCAAGGTAAAGAGGGTTTTTCTGTCTTCATACTATTGTTCCTGGGTATAATTATTGCAGTACAATGAGGTATGCTATTTGTTATTTTTGATTATGACTGTTAAAGAGCCAACCCTTTGGATTAAGTTCATTAAGAAATCCCGCGCCTCGAGCTTGGCTTGCTCGAGGATTGGAAAGCCTTGATCTACGATTCAGTTTTAGCTTGTGAAAAAAGAATGTAGAAAAGGCTGCCTCCTTTATAAATTTGTGGAAATCATTGAATTAAAATATAACCCCCCCCCCCCCACCCCCCCCCAATCCCTTAAAAACAATTACACATGCTGTCATTTGACTTCCTATCAGATCTCCACATCCAGATCAAAAGCTTATGCAGTTGACAATGGATTAGGGGTGTGCATTCGATTTATCGATTCGATTTTGATCCTTATCGATAATTACTTATCGATTATCGATTTGTACATATGCTTATCGTTATCGTTTCAATAAGGTTTCGATTTTTTCGATTTCGATTTATCGATTTTTGGGGCTTATCGATTCGGTTATCGATTACACCAGTAAGAAAAGTATATCGCTATAAACACGCCTAACTAATATGGACCAAAAGAAGCTAAAATAAGACGAACCGTTTATAACATAAAAATTGTGTCAACAAGCACATGCAACGAAACTAAAATAAGGGATCAAATGTATGCCACCAACACTCCAACGGTATAAAAAAAAATACATCATCACGGCTAATTCTATTTTCCATTAATTTGAACTTCATTCCCTTGAGCTTTAAGTATGATCATTCCTTAAATGTGGTAGATGAAATAATAGGGTTAGGAACTTAGGGTAAAGGAAAGGGTATTATAGAATAAGGGTAAAAAAAAATTAAAAAAAAATCAAAAAAAATTAATTTTTTTGTTTTTTAGTATTTCTTATCGGTTTATCGATAAACCGATAAACCGAAGAGGACAAAATCGAAATCGAAATCGATAACTCGATAAGGAAAATTTCGAAATCGAAATCGAAAAATCGATAAACCGATAACAAATAATCGATTCGATTTCTCGATAAACCGATTCAAATGCACACCCCTACAATGGATGCTAATAAAGAGTGCTAAAGATGGTTCAAGAAGAACTACTCCTTTTTAAAGGTAAAGATATCAATCTCATTAATGGGTGCCAAGGGGGTACCACATCCAGTTAAAATAAGGATATTCAAGAAACATACAGTAACACAATTGAATGGTTATATCCTCCCCAAAACAGTAAGCTTTACAAGTTTAGCTCATCCACGTCTACAAGGTTAACAGATCACAAGAAGAAGGGTGGTTATCCTTGCACCAGGGTAGAAAAAATGAGTTATCGGCTGCTCCCAGGTCTTGGGTTCAACGGCAAAGGTAATACATCACGGGATGTATGGTAGGTGTACGTCATGAGTATGAATCCTGGCTATTGAACCCAATCTGGTGTTTAAGTGGAGAACAGTACAAGCCCGGGTCCATTATCTACAGAGTTTCAAAACTGAAAACTTGGATTTATCGTTATCAATATTGTAGAAAAGATTGAGTTATCAGATTTTAAGATCTTTCATTGGTACTTTCCCTTGAAGCATTCTTCTGTTCCTCTCCAACCATTTATTTCAATTTAAACATTTTTGAAATTCAGTTCCAATTTTTTCTATTTCTGCCCGAGTAACAACCACTCCAGCTAACTGAAAAGTCCTTTGCAATGGGGGGAATCACCCTGGTAAGCCACTAAAGGAGAGGAAAAAATGTCCAACACTCAGCCGGCACTTGTGTTTTATATGGAGGGAAATGTGATTGACTGTTTCCCTAGCTGGTATTTGAACAATGCATACCGTGTTGCTATAGCCTATATATAATGAAAGTACCTCACTTCCTTTCCTAATGCAACATTAAGTTGCTGTCTTTGAATCCTTAGGAGTTCTTCAAACGATCATATTTTGGTTACCTCTGGCTGATATTATGAGAACCAGATAACTAGACCTGCATATGTCAAGAAGCATTATGTTGTGCCTTGAGATCAGAGTGTATCACTGAGGTTGTGACAAGAGTCTGGTTCCTATGATCTCAGCTCCATTTTCCATGAATATTTTCAGTTTGAGTAGAGATAAATGGAAGACTAGAGATCCTCTAGTTCTAGACAACCTTTAGCCTGCTGTAAAAGACTAATTTTTTTAATAATTGGAAGTGGAATGGTTACAGAGGATTCATTTCTTCTATCACTGAGAAATTCTCGAAGGATAGTGATGCGCGGTCCGAAACTCAGTGGATATTGGGCAATTTCCTTAAACTTTTCCAAAAAATTACCAGGCTTTTATCCCAACAGGGTTTGAACCTGTGACTTGCGCTTAACTCACACATCACAGTTGTGTTCCTACGACTAGACCAAAGCCCTGGAGGCGGTTCCAAATGATTCATTTTTAAATAGGATTGAAGCATGGTTGATTGATTGTTGATTTATTAGTCTTTTTAGTGGGGCTAGGAGATGAAACAGAAGGGTGGTGGCGAGAGTTATTTCGTTAGTCGAGGCCTTTTAAACAATGGAGTTTGGAGAAAGAAAGAGTTTGATCCAATGAAGGGTGGTGGCTTGGATTAGCGAGAGACAAGATAATAGAGGATTTGAAAATAAGTGCGTGATAGGTATCAGAGTTACGGTAAGTTGTACTGTGGGACTTGTGTATATAAAAGGGTCAGACTCTAAATTACTTCACATGAAAATACAGATGGAGAGTAACCAAACTAATAGAAGCTCAAGAGGCACTCAAGCTGGTCCGCGTAAGTTGTAGGGCTATATTGCTTGGACTCTCCAACTACTGCCGCACCCATGTCGGATCCTCCAAAAATGCACCTGACGGCATTTTTGAAGAGTCCGAGCAACATAGGTGTAGGGCTTCATGGCTTTGATCTTGACAAGGCTATATGTAAGTGAGCCACGCACAACTTTTCCGCAACTTGGCCTGGTTCACTGGCAGCGATACCCTTAAAAGGTTCTCAAGCATTAGTTGTCTAGAAAATGGAGGCATGACACAAGCATCAGTTCTGTATGCTGACATCAAATAACATTACTGCCTCAAACAAAAGGGAGTGTTAATAAATATACACTCAATGGTGCTGAGACATAAAATGTTGCATCGCCAGTTCCTCTTTGCCAGCTACTTGCAAGTACTAGATTATATCTTTTTGTTAGTCTCATCCTGATAAACTTCTCCTACTTTTCTTTTGGCGTTGCATCAATATGTTGTCCACTTTCCTTATTAAATATCACAAGAAATTTTAGGGGGCTCACATTTATTCTCATAACAATACACTTTACCTATTTTTCTATGATGCAAATATGATTTAAGCCAAACTTTCAACACTTCTCTTGATCATCATGCCAAGTCAAAGTTGACAAGCAAATTTGGATGGAGAAGTAAATGCATCAGGAATGAGCTGAAATGCCCAAAAATCCTTGGTTTATGCATGTAGCAAATTTTTTAATTGAAATGCTATCACATGGCGAACGTAATTTGTCTTGTACCATGGTCGTGATTGCTTCAGATTATTCTCTTCTCTTGATTAGCTAGGTTTCATAACTCTTGTTGCAAAAGTCATAGTCAACATTCCTTGGCTTCCATGCATTACATTAAGGTGTATATGAGGGTAACTGAAGTAAAATTGTGCCCTTAGAAGTTAGAGGTGCAGTTTCTAGTATTTGACTCTGAAGGGTGTAAGCTAAACTATCATTTACATTTGGCTTTTTTAATGAAATCTATCTTGTTACTGATCATTTACTGGAGTTCTTCTGAGTTTGTTTTATGTATTAAGTTGGTTTATATGACACGGAAATGCAGCAAGAGAGACCTGGTCTTCCAGAAGATATTTCTGCTGACATGGCATTTATCATACAATCATGTTGGGTGGAAGACCCTAATATGCGACCAAGCTTCAGCCAGATAATCCGGATGCTTACTGCGTATCTCTTCACACTTCCACCTCCCACACCATCCGTACCACCAACAGATTCTGTGGAGCAGACGGTTGCCAGCAATGGTACCATTGTTGAGTTTTCTGCGCGAGCAAGGGGAAAATTTGCTTTCCTTCGCCAACTTTTTGCTGCAAAGAAGGCTAAGAACTCACAGTAAGCTGGCAAAATTTTCAACACTTTACGCGGTAGGACATCTTCTCAAGCAGAGGGATGACAAGTGTTGAACAGAAACAATGTTAGTCGATTAACCAATAAACAAAAACAAAGGAAGGAAAACAAGTAGTTAATGTCATTGTAAAGGAAGTTTATTACCTGTACTTTCTTGTTCATATCCAATCCTCTCATTTCTATGGGAATCTCTGTAGCGTAGGCCGTATGGTAACAGTTTTCTTTTGCATTTATCACAGGATAGTGATGGCTGCTTCTCAGCAGATATTTCTAACAATATATGTTGCTCTTCAGAATGTTATTCATCTTAGGCTAATTTTTAAAGTATGTAACACTCCTATTTTGAATTGAGATATTGGTAGGCCCGCTGAATGATTGTTATTTTCATACTGTATAACTCTTTGTGGGATCTTTTTCCCACAAGCCACCAGAAGCAGAATCTCATAATTGTTCCAGAGCGATTAGAAAGCGATTCTTTATTGTGTTATTATTAGAAGATGACGAAGGATGAAACATCATGAGAACATAGTTTTTCTGCATCCGTTTTTGAAACAGTTATGTAGAATTTTAGCATGTGAAACATGTGCAGTTATGGATGGTGTATGACTGATCAAACTTAAAAGAGTGAAAATATTTGTCTTGTGAAACTTATCCACTTCAAAGCTACTATTATTTTTAACTTAAATGTGTAATACAGAGTACAGATTCCACCTGCTAAATCCTAATCATTTTGGTGGTGAACTTTTATCAGAGTTAGTTGAAGTTTGAATTGTTTTACTTGGTGGAGGAACTTTCAAAACATATATGTAGATGGTTCTAATAATAGTTGCTAGGTATGTCTCTCTATCTTTTCTCTTTTTCCCTTTTACTGACTCCATTTTTTTTAACTCTAACAATATGATTATAGATGGTCTCAAATTAATTAACAACAACAACAACAACTCAGTGTATTCCCAAAAGTGGAGTTTGGAGAGGGTAGGATGGATGCAGCCTTACTCCTACCTTGGACGGGCAGAGAGGTTGTTTCTGATAGACCCTCAGCTAAAGAAAAGATGAAAGAAGCACTGATAGCAAGTAATAACAGTACAAAATATTCAGAAAACTGAAACCAAGATAGCAAAATAAAGGGTGAAAGAAGTACTGATAGCAAGTAATAGCAATACAAGATATGTAGTAATAGCTATCTAAAGATAAAATGATACCATACTAACACCAGTACTACTGAACTAAGGGAGACAAAGGGAAACGCTCGACACTAACCTTCTACCCAAATTCTCAACCTCCACACCTTCCTATCAAGGGTCATATCCTCGAATAGTTCAAGTTGTGCCATGTCCCGCCTGATCACCTTTCCAAGGCTTCTTTGGCCTACCTCTACCCTTCCTCTTACCCCCAAGGCTAACCTCTCACACCTCCTGACTGAGATATCTGTGCTTCTCATTTTAATGTAACAACTTGGCCGGTCGTTTTGAGAGTTATAGCCCCGATTCCCCCATTTACTGCTTCCCCCGTACCTTTTTCTGCTTATGTGACTTGCCGGGAGGTTTCATTTTGGTTTTTGGAGTGTTTTGGGACACTTAGTCCCTAAACGGAAGCTTAAGTGTTAGGATTTTGACCGTAGTCGGAACTGTGTGAAGACGACTCCGGAATAGAGTTCCGTCAATTCCGTTAGCTCCGTTGGTGATTTTGGACTTAGGGGCGTTTCCGAATTGTGTTTTGGAGGTCTGTAGATGATTTAGGCTTGAATGGCGAAAGTCGAATTTTAGGAGATTTTGACCGGAAGTGGACTTTTTGATATCGGGGCCGGAATCCGATTCCGGAAGTTGTAGTAGGTCTGTAATGTTGGATATGACTTGTGTGCAAAATTTGAGGTCAATCGGATGTGGTTTGATAGGTTTCGGCGTCGGTTGTAGAAATTTGAAGTTTCAAGTTTTTTAAGTTTGAATTGGAGGGTGATTCATGATTTTAGCGTTGTTTGATGTGATTTTAGGGCTTGACTAAGTTCTTATGGTGCTTTAGGACTTGTTGGTATGTCTGGTTGAGGTCCCGGGGGCCTCGGGTGTATTTCGGATGCTCAACGGATCATTTTGACTTTGGAAAGATAGCAGATTTTTCTGGTATTTTTGTTGCAGAAGTTTGTCCTTCGTGTTCGCGAAGAGGAGCCCGCGTTCGCAAATGTGTGGTCAGTGGAAGCATCGCGAACGCGAGGAGTACAACGTGTTCACGTAGAGGAAAATGGAACAGCTGGGACCCCAAGACTTTGTTCTACGTGTTCGTGTAGGGGGGATCGCGTTCGCGAAGGGTCTGGCAAGTGAAGCTATGCGTTCGCGAGAGGACACTTTTGGATCAGTAAATAATTGTTCATCGCGTTTGCGAGAGTGATGCCGTGTTTGCGAAGAAAAAAGTACCTGGGCAGAATATAAAGTTTCAAAAACGAGGGTTTGGCCATTTTTATCAAAACTTGAGTTTGGGAGCTCGGATTTGGACGAGATTTTGAGGGATTTTCAGAGATATCAATTAGGTAATGATTCTATACTTGGTTTTGGTTATATCCCACTAATCTATCATTAATTTTATCATTTAATTTTGGATTTGGGGTGAAAAATTGAGAAAAAACGGAAGGAAGTTCTTCAACTAAGATTTTGGGTTTTGATTGGGATTTTGACACCGGATTTGGATAATTTTGGTACGAGTGAACTCGTGAGTGAATGGATGTTCATATTTGATGATTTTTACTCGATTCCGAGACATGGGCCCCGGGAGACTTTTTAGGGCGATTTTCCAATTTCTTGCTTTAACTTTGATTTCATTAGCTAGATTAGTTTCTTGTAGTTATATTTATGATATGTAATTGATTTTGGCTAGATTCGGGCCATTCTGAGTCGGATATTCGTGGAAAAGGAATTGTTATCGAGTGATTGAGCTTGATTCGGGATAAGTGGCTTGCCTAATATTGTGTGGGGGAAATCCCCTTAGGATTTGGTAATGTTTTGATAATGTAAGCGTTGTGTATGTGAGGTGACGAGTGCGTACACGGGCTATTTGTTGTAAAATCCATTTTTTATTGAGTATTAACCTGTTTCTTCTTATTTGAGTTCCATCAGCGTGTGTAATTATCCTATTTAGCTTAGAATAGCATTCCTACGTGTCTTAAATGCTTATCTGTACTCTGTGCAACATGCCTAGTGAATTTTCCTACTTTTCTCTTGACTTATACTCAGTTTAAACTGTAGAATCTTGCTGTAACTGTTATTTCATTGTTTGAGCCGCATATTTACTTTGGGACTACGGAACGATATTTCGGGAAATCCCCTGCACATTTACTTTGGGACTACGAAACGGTATTCTGGGAGATCTCCTGCACATTTACTTTGGGACTACGAGACGATATCCCGGGAGATCCCCCTGCATATTTACTTTGGGACTACGGAACGGTATTCCGGGAGATCCCCCTGCACATTTACGTTTGTGACTACGAGATGGTATCTCGGGAGATCCCCTGTTGCTATTTTGTGTACTGTACTGTATTCCCTTCTGTGATTTTCTTCCGGTTAAATTCCGGCCTTTACTTTACTGCGATATTTTGTTCCGTCTTATTATATATATATATATATATATATATATATATATATATATATATATATATATATATATATATATATATATTCCAATAGGGCCCTGACTTGACCTCGTTACTACTCGACCGAGGTTAGGCTTGGCACTTACTGGGTACCGTTGTGGTGTACTCATGCCTCTTCTGCACATATTTTTCGTGTGCAGATCCAGGTACCTCCTACCAGCCTCGAGCTTAGTTGCACGGTAGCTGCTGTTCAGGAGACTTCAAGGTACATCTGCCCGCGTCCGCAGACCTTGGAGTCCCCTTCTATCCCCTTATGCCGATTCTTCCCTTATCTCTTTAGACACCGATGTATAGAACAGTTAGAAATTCGTAGAAGCTTGTGACTTACGGTGTTCCGAGTCTTGGGAGAGTTGCATATATCTCGAGAGTTGATTATTGTATATACCGAGCGACATCTCAAGTGTTTTATTTATAATATTTGTTACTGTTAGTTGTTAATTTTCATGTATTTCATTTTGTTTCCGTAAAGTGTTAGGCTTACCTAGTCGTAGGGACTAGGTGACGTCACGACAATTCATGGAGGGAGAATTTGGGTCGTGGCATTTAACATGTCCGAACCATCTAAGCCTCGCCTTTCGTATCTTATCCTCCACGGGGGACACTTTCACCTTGTCCCTGATAACTTCGTTCCTAATTTTATCTAACCTAGTATGCTCACACATCCATCTCAACATCCTCATTTCAGCTACTTTCATCTTTTGGACGTGACAGTTCTTGACTGGACAACATTCTACCCCATATAACATAGTCGGCCTAACCACTACTTTGTATAACTTACCTTAAGTCTCAATGGCACATTCTTATCGAAGACATCGAAAGTGAGCCCCCACTTCATCCATCCTGCTCCAATATGATGTGTGACATCCTCATCAATCTTCCCATCACTCTAAATTACAGACCCCAGGTACTTGGAACTCTCTCTCTCTCTCTCTCTCTCTCTCTCTCTCCTGGGAATGACTTGAGTATCAAGCCTCACATCCACGTCCGCTTCCTAGGTAACGCCGCTGAACTTGCACTCCAAGTATTATATCTTGGTCCTGCTCAACTTGAAACGTATAGACTCAAGGGTAAGTCTCCAGACCTCCAGCCTCTAGTTGACACCACCCCGCGTCTCATCAATCAGAACTATTTCATCTGCAAGTAACATACACCATGGCACCTCCAGTCGAATGTGTCGCTTCAATGTGCCCCTTGCAAAGGAAAATAAAAACGGGCTAAGTGGTGATCCCTGATGCAGTAAATTGCGGTAAGCTGATGATCAACATAAAAATAATCATATAATTACATAGTTATAGGCCTGTTCAAAATCAAACCATAACCGTTAACCGAAACTAAAAATGACTTATTACTTATTGGTATCGGGGTAACAGTTGGTGAACGGATTGAAATTTTATAATTAACGGCTTAACGGTTTGGGAGCAGATTACTTAATTTTCTTATCGGATAAACCATTAACCCGTTAAAATTTTTTATATTTATACTTTTACCCCTATGTATATAAAGTAATTTTTGAAACCCTAAGGCCTAAAATCTAAATTTCTAATTTATCACATCTCAATAACAACCGATAAGCACCCCTCCTACTGTGACTAAGAACAAGAATTGGTATGGTTGACTACTAACAAAAATTAGGAAAAAAAAAAAAACTAACAAAAATAACATAACTGGTAGTAGATATGAACTAGTTCATATCTAATAAACACCCACAAATGGTTACCAGATTGGTTGAAATAATGCTTAGTTTCTTATTTAGCATTCCTGGAGGGTAACGAAATTCCAGTTACTAAGCTGATTAAGGTTGTTGAAGGATTTTTGTCAAGTAATTGGAGGAAAGAGCTTGGATGATGTAGCAGTTGATTATTTGATGGATCTTATGATTGAGCTAGTTGTAATTGCCTAAAAGAAATTAAAAGGGTAGGATAAAAAGAAGCTGTTTTTATAATCTAGCACATGACTTCTGTGGGGAAATGACAAATATTTTTTTAGTTCTCTATTTCTTTTTTATTGTCTATTTGCTTTAGCCGATAAACCGTCTGATAATCGCCCGCTAATCGTTAATACGATACCAATTCGTCCGGTGCCTTAGTGAATTACTACATTTATTAATCGATAATCGATAAGCCAAATCATTAAAAGTAAATAACCGCCCGATCCGTCCCACAAACACCCCTACATAATTGACCTTAACTCATTCTGCATTACATAGTTAACCTTAACTCATTCAGAATCCAGTCGTAGTAGGTTTAATAATTAGTTTTCTTCTTGGTCCATGCGAGAATTTAATATACGAGATTGCATGATAAACCCCTCTTAAATGGCTTATAAGCTATTCATTAGTACTTCTAATGAATGCCAAGTGGAAGCAAAGGTCCAAGGACTAACAATTAATAAATGTTACTCCCCGTCCCATTTTAACTGTCGTTTTAGTTCAAAAATATTCTCCCAAAAATAATTTTCACTTTAGGATTTTACAACTAAATTTATTAGCTATTTCCAACCATACGCTTAATATTAAATAAATAGTAGTTCTTTTTTAATATTACTCAATTCTCAAAAAGCATTTAAAAGGTGTAAGTTAGTAAATTATAACTTATATTTTTGTTTATAGATATGAAAAGAACTAAGGCGACCGTTAAAATAGGATGGAGGGACTAAACAAAATCCTAAAACTCCATCTCCAGCTTATTACTTTTGAGATTGTCTGATCAACTCTAATAACTGTTCATAAAACAAAAATAAATACAACTATCCACTTTCTTAGAACCGAAAATTCGAATTGGTTCATTTTGGTCAACTATAATATGTACTTTACTACTTTTCAAAGTAAAATAAAATCAAGTTCATGTTTCAAACCAGTTCCCCCTCCCCCTTTTTTTAAGAGAAAAATTTAGTGCTTTAATTACAAAGAGTTTAAGTTCTATATATTTATAAACTAGAAAAAATTTACTTGCTCATGTCATTTATTAGGTAATTATAGGTAAATCTCTATGATAATATTAATTTTTAACTTAATAAGAAAGATAATTAACCCGGTATAATAGATTAACCTACAATAATATTATTAAAAAAACGGAAAAGGCCTAAAAATGTCACTCAACTTTCAGAAATGGTCTATCCATGCCATCCGTTAAAAAAAATGCTCATTTCATGCCACTGCCGTTACACATTTGGCCCATCCATGCCATTATTGACTAACGGCTCAACTTTTATTTTTTTAAATATTTGTAACACCCACATTTCCACGTGACCTGTTGTTATTGGTCCGAATTAACCCATGCCCCACTTAATTTTAACCTTGGGTAGGTCCACCTACCCAAACCCGACCCGGTTAAAACATACCCAAATCAATAACCCAACCCAAACTCTTCGTACCAAATCCCCTTCTTTCCGGTCGTCTTCCCCACTTAGTTCAAGGTGCTGGCAAAGAAGTAATTCGGAGAAGAAAGAAAAGAAGTTTCTGCCGCCATTATCGTCCTTAAACCAATATGGAAAGCCAAATTTCTTCATGCGTGCGGTGAGAAAAGATGGAAGGTTAGAGTTGACAGAGGTGAAAATTGGTCGGCCCGAAACTCTCCTTGCTTCCGGCCAAGATGGACGGCTGAGATTACATCTCATTCGTGATGAAGAAGAAGAAACAGAAGAGGAAAACGAAGATTTCCCCCTGGACGATGAAGAAGAAGTGATTGAAACAATTCAAGAAAATGATGAAGAAATACTTGAAGAAGAAGAAGACAAGGTTGAAGAGTGGAAGTTTCCGGTGACAAGCGGTAGCAGTGGAGATGGTGTTTGGAGATGTTACGGTGGTCATCACCATCATCGTCATAACAACCACCGCCATGATTTACATCTTGGGGAAGACGATTGGAGAGAAGGGGATTTGGTATGAAGGGTTTGGGTTGGGTTAATGATTCGGGTAAGTTTTAATCGGGTGGGTTTGGGTAGGTGGACCTAATCAAGGTTAATATTACAAAAATAAAATAAAAATTGAGTCGTTAGTCAATCATGGCATGGATGTGCCAAATGTGTAACGGCAGTGGCATGAAATGAGCATTTTTTAACGGATGACATGGATAGATCATTTCTGAAAGTTAAGTGGCATTTTTAGGCCTTTTCCGTAAAAAAAATCCTTATACTTACAAGATATAACTTAAATTCAATTACAAAATATTGCTCCAATTAACTTTTCTTGAAAAATAAATCTAAAAGAGAATTGATACAATGGCTATGTAAAATTTGAAATCCTTATACTATTCAAATGGGACAATTATTTTTAATCTTTTTTTCTTTGATTTGTGGTGTCTGATACTTGCTTTGGGGCTCGATTAATTCATATTTTGTATGTACATGTTCCCACGCCGATGCCAAAACACAATTATTCTTATAATCCTATATAAATTATATCATAATTAGATTAGTTTTATGTTGACCGTTAATTAATTGCAATTTTCCTTCTTTATCTAAGTTTCAAAAAGAGAAAAGTGAAAATTGAATTTAGAGATAAAAGAATAATTAAAGATGGGTAAACCTCATTGATGAGTAAGACAAGGAAAAAAGACTTTTGCTTTTAATTTTTTTTTACTGATTTCCTCAAATATTATGATGACACACTCCATGTGAATATCATAAGTCAAAGTCCACTCACGTGTACACCCTCTTTCTATTTCTTAACCGTACGATCACATCAACATTTTGTACAAGAGATAAATTAACGGGTCAGATTTAAAGTAAATAAAATAGAGCATTCCCCAAGTAAAAAAGAAAGTCTGAAGAGTCCATGCCTATTTATTGGACATAAATGTTTTAGAATTAGATACTGGAAAACATAGACAACAAAGACACAAAGTAAAGAAAATAGGGAGTTGTTAGATATATATATATACATGTAAACATATACAGACACACACTATATATTTATGTTTTATATACATATATAGACATAGACGTATTAGAGCATCAGAAGTCTAAATCTTTATGTAAGATTCAAGATCAAGATAGGGGGCATGCAGTAAAGCTGGACCTTTTCACTATTTTTGGGTAAAAATCTTTTCTTGGTAATTTCTTTTTAGTCAATCTAAGAAGAAGCTCTATATACTTGACTTGACTCATTCTCGAGAGTTTTTCTTTTTTGAGATATGGGTTGTAAAGATTACAGCTTTGTGGTAAAGGGGGTGGCTGTTTAATCTTGAAAAGGTTGAAACTTTATCTATGTTGTGTGCTAATTTCAACACAATTGAGATTTTTCTGCCAGAAAGGTTTTTGGGTTGTGGATTGATTGTTTGAAGAATTTGTTGAATTCGGTTTTTTGAGTTATTCTTGGATTTTGAGTTTCTCAGTTTTTTAGTTGTTGTTACTTTGATATTTGGAGTTACCCTTGGGGTTTGGGGAGTTTGGATTTGAAGGAAGAGGGGAGGGGGGATGTGATGGAGGACAAAGCAGCAGCTTTTCATACTGCTATAAATGCAGTGCAGGCACTTGGTAGGGGCTTTGATGTGAACTATGATACCAGGTTGCTCTATTGTAAGGGAGTGGCTGGTTCTAGGGTTGTAGAGATTAATGAACAACATACCAGGGATCTTTGGTTATATGATGATGTCGTTCTCCCAAATGTCTCAAAGGATATTAAGAACTTTCAAGAGCCTGGCGGTCGCGATGGCACTACTGTTTGCTCTTATAATGAGGTATGTACAATGTTGTTAAGTTTCCTCTATGGCACTAGTTTTACTCTTTTGTCAATTGTGTGAAGCACTCTAGCTACCTCTAGATTTCGAATTGAAATTTGAAATGAGCCAAATAATTAATTTGCTTAAAAACAAGTGCTCAAGATTGTAAACTCGTGTTTGAAGTTGGAAATGTTGAACTATGATGGACTGCATCCATTTAATTGTTCCGAAAAAGTAGCCTCGTTATTGCATGCTGTGATCAGGTTGATGCGACATTGAATGATTGTCTGGTTGAAATTGATTTCTGTTGTATATAGATTATAACTTCTATCCTTTTGCTTTCTAGAGGAAGGAAATTTATCTCATCTGGAAACCTGTTATCAGTTAATGGTTGTATGCATGTTTTGCATGTGCTACTATCTTTATTGTGTGTCGTAAGCATTTCAGAGGAAAGAAGCCACATGTTTAGGTCAATTGCCAGTTAAGGGTGTTTATTAGTAATTTCAGTATGCATGTTCTGCATGTAGTTCTGTCTTTATTGTATGTAATAGACATCTTAGGAGAAAGCAGTCACTTGTCTAGGCCCCGTGTTTGAGATGAACCAAGGAAGATATGTTCTTAATCAGACTCTTTTGTGTGGTGCCGTAAAAAAGGAGATCAAAGCCTATGTGTTTCACTAGAATCTTTAACACACGAGACTCAAAATCCCGTGCTAATAGAGTGGAGATTATGGTGAACTGCTTTATGAGGACGTGTGGATGTTATCTCTTCACATGGTGGTTAAACCAGCAATAATAAAACAAAGGTTTACATAGTATATCAGTTGGGGTATGCACATTGTGTAGGTTAGAAGGTCAGTTATTGGGCACCGG